AGATGAGTGATAGAATAAAAAAAACGTCTATTTAGAATGATTATTGGAATAAGGGTTGTTTTTATTGCCACTGCCTAAGGGTTTTCTTAGTTTCTCACAGGAACTAATCTGATTGGACAAATTCTTAAAATCAACATATCGACAAATCACAGCGTTGCATCTATCTTGCAAACAGTCTTAAACTCAATTGTCACCAGTTGACCACACAACCAACGGAAGCTGAGCTGCCTGTATCAGTTACATCTCACATTTACATATCGATTTGTAGGTGACTGGAGTTCAATTTATATCGGCTGATAAATGTCCAGGGCGTATGTCATATCTAACTAAATTGTGCAGACGGTGCCAAGGTACATCCCAATTACATTTATGTTCCGTACTCTAGTTCAGATATCTAAAGATTATCTTCCTGCCATTCCACTATTTTTTTTATTGAGTGTTTTGGGCTACTGTCATGTGCTTAGGACGTGTAACACTGCGACCTACATAAATATATTGTGGTCGCCCTTTTTTAAAGTTAATTCGTAGGAGCGAAGGTTTTTATCACCTCAAGATAGAGTGTGAATTTTCCAAAGGGTTATATGTCATTTACACATGAGTGGCTACAACTACATAGGGTATGTAGTGGCGTTGAATGAAGAAGAATTAAAAATGAATGAATGAAGAAAAAAAACAAATACATAAACTAATCCTTATTCATAAATAATTACTTTTTTTAAACTACATATTATACAAAATGTATTTTGAAGATGAAATAATAAAAATTACTATTTTTCTAGTCAACTGTTATGAGGACAGATAAATTTTATTTACAATAAATGAAAGTTTGTTTATCATATACATATACAGGAAGTAGATGCCGTACATCGTTGTTCTTTGAATGTGCAGTTTCTCTCTAACTCAACTATTCAACTATTTTATTCTTCTTTAAATAAATCGACATAAATAGATCTATATTAGTTTTGTTTCAGCATGGAATACGACCTACACGAAAATAACAAAACAGATACAAAATTGCCGTACAAAAATACAAATTGTTTATATCCACATTATTTTATTTTCAGAACAATGTAAATAATTAAAATAATTTTATAAAAAAACCCACACAACATTCGTCCTTCTGTATACATCTCGGAAAGGTCGCAATAGCTACTTATGGGAGGGCGAAAAGAACATTGGTCGCTTTTTTTCTGAACTAATATTTAAGTAAAGCAAAAAAAGTTAATCAAATTAAAATAGAAATATTTTACTAAATTGTTTTATTTATTTATAGGTGATAAATAAAACTGCACTCAAGTGTAAACAATACTAGTGTGATAGTGACATGGTTTATTATTAATATTATATAATAATAAACCGAGTTTTTTCACTACCGGTTTTGGTACAATTACAGAGTAAAAAATTAATTATTCTATCTAGAACATAGCATTCCATTCCTAAAGAATATAAACACTAGTATTCATGAAAATTACAATCATCACAAGGTTAATGATTAAATAAACTGGCACAAAAAAATATATTCAATTGATTTTCTTGCCAGTTTTTGTCAATTGGATGTCTCGTATACCTACTGAACTGGGCGGAAGGGAAAAGAAAAAATGATTTTTTTATAAGCGGTTAAAATGTCCTACATGAATGAATAATTGTTGAATTTGAATTTGATTATTGTGGTTACACTATTGTATATGTACTATACAAAAATATAAAAATCCTGGTTTAAACCGGTTGAAAATAACGATATACAAAAAATATAGGTATCTACTACTCGAAATTATTTCTCAAAGTTAGACTCAAGGAAAAGCTAATAAAACTTCTGTTTTTATTAATTATTTGTTGCGCCGAAGATGAGAAAAGATATCTATTAATCTTTTCCCATTACCGAAAATTAATACGGGAAAGTTGTAAAAATTACTTACCGAGTGAACTCTGTTTAATTGTTGTAATACAACAATTTATTGGTAGTCTTTGAAGGAACCTCTCATTTGTGAAGTTGTTCAAGTTACGAACTCTCATTTACCGTATCTTAGAAATACTTTTAATAAGTTATCTAGGTATTATAATACTTATAAGTTTTGGGAATTTTTGTTTGACGACCACCGAGGTGTAGCTGTTTAGTACACTGCCTTACTTCCGATGCTTGCGGGAACACAGGTATGGTCACGGGATCGTATATGTATTTAAAAAAAGGTATATTAGTTTTTATATTGGTTATTTAGTACCCATAACACATGCTTTGCTTACCTTCGGACTAGATGGACCTGTGTGAATTCTGCCGGGATAGTATAATAATATCTTCCGTGCAAAAGAAAGTAATCATATTTTATATACTAGCTGTACCCACGACTTCGTCCGCTTGAAATTTAACTTTATTTTTCTAAAATAAAAGTAGTCTAAGTTACTCCTTTTTACATCAGCTACCAGCCAAAAAAAGTCACGTTAAAATCTCTCCAGCCCTTTCAGAGATTAGCCGGAACTAACAGACATACAGACAGACAAAAATTGTAAAAAATGTTATTTTAGTGTATTTACCGTATTTATATTCATATACATATATTAAAATATGGTTGTTTCAACATTACAAACAGACACTCCAATTTTATTTATATCTATAGAGTATAGATTATACTATTAATTATAAAACAATCACCAGCCATCTGAAAATGCTTGCCAATAAATATAATCAGATATTATAGATACAGATACTTCGAAATAGATTGTACTATCTGAGAAAAAAATTAATAATAATTTGAAAATACTGTTTCCTGTAATTTAATTGTCATAAGTCACCCTAAACGAAATACAGGGGTGAAGCTGTAAAGGCCAGCTACGAACAACATCTTTAGAATGGTTCGTGTGGGAGATAAAAGAAACCAGGGAATTGTCGTAAGATATATATTATACAAAGAAATACTACTAACTAGGGGCAGGAAGGGAAATCAAAAGAAACAATAGAAAGAAGTGACAATTTAATATGAAAAATTATATATATATAAATTTAATAGGAAGCTTATAAAATAGAACATATACTAAATAAGTGGTCTGTATTTATAAAAGAAGCTGCTTGGCTTTAGAGTTTTTGTGACACAGAGGTAGGTCCACAAAGTTTATCTATGGTATATGACCATAGATAAACGTATATGTGGTATACATATATATATATAAGATTCAAGCAATATTTACTTGAAAATTAAGTAAATTTTCAAGGATTATATTCAAACATTGTCATATTATTTGAACACTAGATATAATTTAGTATTAATATTCATATTCCATATCAACTATGAGAGAATTTAGATCTAGTTATCCATACATATTACTCATTAAAATGAAAATTTAATTAATAATAATTGAAATAATAATCTATTAGTGGTGTTACACTAAATTGTTGAAGTTATTTTCATTGCGTGTGAAAGCAATTGAGTTGTTCAAATTTAGTCGTCTAATGTTACATATTATACAAATATATAATGAGATGTAACAGTTCAGTTTGTATGGATATTAATTCATCAACAAAGCGTCTTTGTTATATAATTTATTCAAAGAGTAAATTAACCTTGCTTATTTTTAATACGATTTAAAGAGATATAAAATATGCGTATGTTCTGTGATTATATATCTGTATTTTTTTTATATATATGCTTAAATGTAAGCATATACTTTACTGAAATTGCAATGAGTGACTGTTTTTTTTTCGGACTGATCTAATGTGGTCCGTCCACATTCCGTTACGAAAGAAAATCTTCAGTCACTGCAATAGTTTTTATGTTATACAATATTATGTTATCTGTGGTTATAGTAAGGTTTTTTTTTTAACTTAAAATAGTAAATGTCATAACACTTAGGTAAAATTTTCTAAAAAAACTTATAGTATGAAAACATAGGAAAAAATGGACGCCTATTCTTTTCTGGGTGTTATTTCTTATTTCCCTATTCACAATTCATAACGGAACAATATTGGCTAACTTTTACGCAGTCTTTGTGAGTTACAGCGCGAAGCCATTAAAATAGGACCAATGGAATAAAAATAAAGGACTTACTTAATTACTATATACTGTTTTCTTTTGTTTAATTAGAAAATGCTATATATTTGCCGATAAAGTAATCACAATACCAAAGCGCCAAAGGAATTTTACTAAAATTGTAAAGTGTGAACGTTTGCATCTCTATATGTTATAACACTATAACAAGCTGAACAGATTCCAATATAATTTCTATAAAATAAGACGACCTAGTCTACAGGTTTAGGACACCGCTAGATCAGTACTTTTTCTTCTCAAAAGTTATAGACAAAAAACATACATATAAACTTTTTAAAGGAAGGCTCAATTAAAAAATTAAAAAACAACAGAGAGAAGGGCTTGTTTAATGTAATCATCTAACTGATCCATTTTAATGGACACGCAGGAAAAACATTATAAAATCGTAGAGGATGTAGGTATTTCATCATATAGACTAGATAGATTGAAAAAAAAATACACAATATAAAGACAGATCTTTTTTCTTTGTCGTAGTCGGATAACCAACCGTTAATAACAGCATTTTATCAGGTATCTGACTATAAATTTGGTTAAATAATGGTAGCTAACGGGTTTTTTACAACTATAATAATAATGCATTTCTTTGGATGTTTCTCATATATCGACACTATATAGACGATAGTTAACAGTGTACAACACTTTCCGACTGTTTGTAATAACAGTTTTATAAAAAATATATACTCTTATAATATAATATGTATAATGAAAATAATATAATAATAATAATGATAATAATCTTATTAATATTACAACTGCGAAAGTTTGTGAGTATGGATGGATATGTTACTCCGTCACGTTTATGCGTGACGGAGTAACAAATACTACTGGACGGATTTTGTTGAAACTTTACAGTGATATACCTTATACATCAGAATAACTCATAGCCTATAAATTTCACGCGAGTGTAATAGCGGGCACAGGTAGTATAATAATATAATATAAATAATGAATTATTTGTTTCAGGATCAAAAATGGCACAGATTTACGTAATTGTCACCGTAGCAGCTGTACTTGTCCTATCACAGGGTGTCACCGCGAAACGTAAGTACTCAATTAAAATTATAATGTATATCATCTCTGTTATTTATAATAACTCCATCCATTTTAACTATACTACAGTAGTCTCTCTTCTTTATTTGACGGCCTCGGTGGTGTAGCGGTTCAGCACACAGCCTTACTTCCGATATTCGCGGGTTCGATTCCTCGCACGGCACAAACACATTCATGAGTATGATTGATTGTAATGGTGTACCTGTTTTCTATGTATAATATGTATCTATAAGAAAAAATCGAAGTATTTCTAACAGTTATATAGTATCAATGTTAAATCTAGCGTCAAGCGCCTTTGAAAATCGGCGGCTCTTTGAACTGGATGCCAGACGCGACGAGCTGAAAGCCCGACCACCTGCGGCTATCAGCTATAATTATGTGAACAGTGTGCTCTTATGCCCGCAATGTGCGAGGATTTTTATAAACAAAATTGGCTACATAAGCCAAATGCGAGCACATCAACGGCAAAGTCGGAATTGAAGACAGTCCCCGTGGCCGAAATCGGCCGGGATTACATCATCATCATCATTCAAGAAGGATATATTGAGGTTTCTTAAGGGTCGGAAACGGGCACGTAACACCCTTGGTGCTTCGGGCATCCATAGGCTACGGTAACCATTTACCATCAGATGGGCCGTATTCTTGTTTGCCACCATAGTAGTATAAAAAAAATCATCATTATCATCATTGTATTATCAATGACACAAGCTCTGCTCACCGTGGGACTAGATGAATAGAAATATATTTTTAGTAATTTAAAAAACAATTGGGGCCAAGCTTACCCTCTCGACCTCAGCAGGACGCACATTTTAAAGCAGGTATCAGTTAAATAAATAATTTCTACTGGACCGCAAAAGGTGTAATCAATAAAATATGGTTTTTCTTTTTGGACGTTGGATTAAAAAGATTTAAAAGGTAAAATACAACTACTGAAAATGCACGCCCAAGATACTTTTCAGGGAGTGCGTTTTGGCATAATGGCAAGCAAGAAAATAATCTCGTATAAACGGAATTCTTACTAAAAATATGTTCCTATGTATAATTGTCTATTTTGGTCTCGGTGTTTTCTATATGTACTATATGTACATCCATATGTATTTACAAAAAATATATATTTAAGTATTTCTAATAGTTATCCAGTACCCATAACAGAAGCTCTGCTTAGCTTGGGGCTAGACAGCGCTATGTGAATTCAGGGTAAATATTATTCATAGAAACGTCAAATTTATAATTCATTTTCTACCGAGTTGTCTTCTTAATTTGAAAGATCGTGACATCAGTACATAGTATAAAACAAAGTCGCTGTCACTGTCTGTCTCTATGTATGCTTAAATCTCAAGATTTAACTACGCAACAGATTTTGAAGCGGTCTTTTTAATAGATAGAGTGATTCAAGAAGAATGTTTATATATATATATATAATACATGTACACCCGTGCGAAGCCGGGGCGAGTAGCTAGTTATTATATATAATAATTATACTATTAATATCGATATAATATTAATTATTTTAAATTTATGGCATGCAAAATGAGACGAGATGTGTTTATTAGTTACATTAAGTTTGTACAAATGTTTGTCTCAACTATCGCACTACTGGTTAACACGAATAAAGTTGGCCCAAGTTATTTCAGCTGTCGTACAAGAACTTCATATAAACAGAGCATTGTTTATTTAACAAGTCTGCACTATTGCTCTTAATTGTTAATACTTATGACTTAATGTCTGTTGCTCTTATAAGTTGTTTAAATTTGAATGTGACGTTGAATTAGGGTTCCCAATTTTCAGATAAACTCCTCCTTGAATATATTACCGAGGTACGTGAAAATACATGTAATCTAACTAATATTATATGGATAGCTAGATAGATGCATGTTTGTAAGTTTGAATATGGATGAATGGATGTTTGCTACTCTTTTACGCAAAAGCTATTAAGTTTTGAAGAAACTTTACAGTAATATAGTTTGTACATCAGAATAATATATAGGCTATAATTTAAAAAGATATTTATATTATAAATTAAAATATAATGATAAATGTCCAGTAAGTGTGATGCAGGCAAAGTTATGCGAATCAGTTAGTAATATAATAATAAAATATCCCTCAATAATATAATAAATAATCCCTGTCTAGCCACAAGCTAAGCAGAGCTTGTGTTATGGGTACTAGACAACTTACATAAATACTTAGATACAATTTTTTATAATTACATACATAATACTTAAATGAGTAGCAACCCTAAATGTTTGCCATTTGTACAAACGAAGAGCTTCCAATATTTGCTGACGAGCCTACACCTTTAGTTTGTTCCACCACCTACAATTTCTAGTAAAGTTGTAAGTTTATAAATAAACATTTGGCGGTCCCGGTGGTTTAGTGGTTTAGCACTCAGTCTTACTTCCACCTCACTTCCAGTGGTCGCGGGTTCGATTCCTTGCCCTGTAGAAATATTTGTATTCATTAGTTTGATTATTTGTATCCGTCTGGATGTCCATACCTATACCTATTACATAAAAAAGATTTTTTATTTTATCATTAGTATTTTAAACAGATTTATATAAACTTTAGCTTTCATTCAATTAGAGATAAAATATATTTCACGTATATAATGTAATATATGTATTTAAAACCTTGCTTAGTAACACTAAGTAATACTCACTTGAAAGACACTGAATAATCTTATCCACGGATCCCCAAGGGTGTACTTTGATTAGGGTAGTTATTTAACTAGATAAAAAACTAAATTCCGTAGTTTAATTTATTTAAATTAAACTACGGAAACCTTTCCATAGTGGTTGTTATATTATTTAATTAATAATTATTAAAAGACTATATCTTCCAAAAAAAATCTAAATAGCCTGATGTAGAAAAAAGTATAAAAATTAAACAACGCCATCTAGTGGCACACTTAGGAACTAAAACAAAAGTAATCTCGTTCGATTGTATAGATCGGACTATCTCATTTATAATATTAGAATTTAATATTTCAGATCAGAGATTTTTTAAGATACGAATCTACAAGTTGTATAACTGTTTGCGAGGCGATTAGGCGACCCCCTAGAGTATATTTTGTAAATTGTATTTTTTTTATTGTAATGTCGGATCAACAAGCATCTTTCTAGATAGATAGGGGTAGCATGGGGCCGCATTGCGCCATGATCGTGGTCCACTAGGGTTTGAAACTCACAGTTTGAAAAACACTGCTGTAGATATATCTAATATATTGAATAATTATTTATTAAATATTACTGTTATATTATATTATGCTCCATTGGAGATATTAATTCTAATTACTTAAATATTTTATATCTTTATTACCTGTCTCTTCGTTTATTAAGGTTTTGTTTATCCACTTCTTTGTTTTCATAGTCTATGAACGTTTTGCTTATATTTTGTTAATTTTCAGTTAATATATTATTTTAGGACAGCTCTGAATAACTCTCCCATATAGTTTTCAAATATCATGAGATGTAACCAATATAATAATAACTAGTACTAATATAATTTTAGTGAACAGTAGTTTTTGTAATAATATGTTGAATAAATTGCAAAACAATGCTGTTCAATTCTTTTTAAATTTATAGTTATATGACAGTTTCATTTGTATTATGTGTTGTAGTTAGACATATACAATTTACACGGCACTCTCTAGTCTCACTCTAAACAAGATTATGTTATGGATACCAAAGAAATATAAAAATATATTTCTTTGATTGATTCTTTGATATATATTTCTAGACAAATACAAATAATAAAACTCATGAATAAAAATGTTTGTATCGTGCGAGGAATGAAACCTGCGACTACCGGAAGTAAAGCTGTGTGGTAAATTGTTAGGCCATCGAGGCCATCGTGTTATATAAATAAACGAATACTTTAAATTGTTTATAATAAAGTAAAAATTAACGTGCCTTTGAAATACGGCCAGTAACGTTATCCCTATATGAAGTAAAAATATTATACATTTATATTTCACGTAAATACAGATATAGAGACATTAAACTGTGTTTAGTCGATTTTGTAATAATATTGTTTATAATATTACTAGTAACAGCCTGTTGTGTTTTATCCGGGTTGAAAAGTATACATAATATTAGGTCGTATTGTAAACAGACCTTCCGTAAAAAAATATTTAAATGACAGCGATGCCCGTATCTAAATCCGTTGCGTGGTTTAAAAAAAGTAAACCGAGACAGAGAGCCGTGGTTGGCGACTTTGTTTTATAATATTTAGTGAAGATTTATTTCTATTTTAAAAACATAGGCTGCATAATGGTTTGTATTCGGTCAGTTCTATTTAAGAATTTGAATTCCGAATTTGATTTGTTTTATAATATATAGTGAAGATTTATTTATATTTTAAAATAAACACTGCATAAAGGTTTGTTTTCGGTCAATTCTATTAAGAATTTGAGTTCCGAATTTTTTTCGATTTGTTCCATAGTTTTATAATATTTAGTGAAGATTTATTTATATTTTAAAATAAACACTGCATAAAGGTTTGTTTTCGGTCAATTCTATTAAGAATTTGAATTTCGAATCAATTTAAATAGAGGTGACATAACAATAGTCCACATTACTAACAATCCCCCCCCCCCCTTAATGAAGTCTATGGATAGGTTTCATAAATATATGAATAAATGATAAATGATATATGATAACAATAAATGATAATAATCTACAGATGAACCTAAATAGTATGGAACCTAGATAGTGGGTTTAATCATAGAGCAAAGAATACGTTGTTTTATATGTCTACATACTGAATGTATCTTGATCAAATTTTATTTTAAGACAAAGTCACAGGACATTCCATTGTAAAATAAATAATCAAAATCGGTTCATCTGCCAAAAATTCTGAGGTTATCTAAAAAAATAAAGTCCAATTGTGAACGTTCTTTTTATAAAGCCGGTTGGGAAACAGTCTATTCCCTAAACGAAATTGTCATTATTTCGATTACATCAAATCATTCTATTTTAGACGTAAATATT